CAATATATTTCTGAATTGTTTGAATGAATTGCTCTTTATTTTTAAAATATCCAAATTTAAAAAAAAGTCGAACACAATTTTGAAACTGACGTCTTTAGCTATGTCCTGTGAAAATTTGAGAAAAATTGGTTAAAACCCGCAGGAGCACAACTCGTTTGAAAATCACTAATTACCGTAAACTTTTTCGGGAGAAAATTGAATTTGAATATTACAGTTTCAATGTTTTTCTTATTGCAGCGAATTGTATTTTATTAAATAACTCTGCGAGTTTTCAACATTTTTCGTTCAAACTTGGTCAGATAGTAGAACTAGTCTAATGCTTTAACACTCAAAGGTGTTCTGTAACCTTAATCACTCCTTACTGCAAGCATTTCAATTTGCATGCATATGCGTAGAAGTTAGTTGAAATTGCGGAAGAATATAGTGTTGCAGTCGACTGCATGTCATAATGCGCCACAATCTCAAAGACCAGGGAAATATTCCAATACTCTACTAACGGAAACATAACTCCATGGCAACTGGACTACTCTGCATGGTTTATATCTTGTCCCATACTAGCCATGTTTAAATTTATTTTTGCCGAATTTTTTTATCTTGAAAACACGGTTTATCAAGTAACTATATTTATTATACATTGTAGTTGGTAAAAGCAATTTGATTGGCTAAGAGCTTACAGTTAAATCGCGCAGTCACGCAACCTACACAAAATTCAGTTATCCGCTAGCAGATAACTCAGTTATCTGCTAGCAGATAACTGAATTGAGGTTGAATGAGTGTACATTTCATATGAGTGTACATTTCAAATGAGTGTACATTTCATAATTGTAATGTTTATTTAACAAGCAAATATTTTAATACGTTAACATCTTAACGATAATATGTTTCTTTTATATTTGTAATTAATTTAACTGTTGGACTTTTTACTTGAACAGCTTTGCCAGAAATCATATGGAATATAACGCTTACCGAGACCTTAATAATTTTGCATATCGCAAAAACCGAATTCAATAAATGTTTTATTATACATTTGAAGAATAATAAACATAGTATTAAAATAGTATGTTTATTATTCTTCAAATGTATAATAAAACAATTATTGAATTCGGTTTTTGCGATATGCAAAATTATCAAGGTCTCGGTAAGCGTTATCAGCCTCGCCTTCGGCTCGGCTGATAACGCTTACCTCGACCTTGATAATTCCGCATATCACAAAAACCTCATCCAATAATTGTTAAATATCAGCTTCATGTGTGCAGAAAATAAAAATGTTTCACTGAAGGAAATTTTAAAAATCGCAAAAATACGATCTTTTTGAAATTACAAATTGCTTATAATACCTTTCTCCACATTAATTTGCGATGACCTTATATAGCGTATTTGCATTTTTTTCTAGTCACAATGTATAACTTACTATTTATGCTCTTTGTGTCATGCATGAACAGACAGTTCTGCTGAAAGGACGTTAGACTGGAGCAGAGAATTACGTTATACATGGGTGTGACCGCATGCTTGCCACTTCCTCCTAGTAAACAATGTTTGTCAATTGTGATATTTGGTACCGGACTTTTATAGTTCTTTCGAAATTATCCCCCCCCCCCCCCCCCCCGCCGCACAGTGTCCGCCATTGATTATTTCGAGTGATTACTGAATAAAACGAAGGAAACTTTGAACATCTACTTACATTTGACAGACAGTTGTGTAGAAGGATTGGTTAAAGCACTTCCAGCTTTATTACTTGCTTTACACACATATGTCCCGATGTCATTTCTCGTGACATTACTAAATACCAGGTTTGGATTATCAGTATTTGTTTTTCTAATTCTTACATTGTTCTTTTCCCAGATAATTTCAATTGGTTTTGGACTTCCTTCTGGTTCACATTTTATAGTCACTGATTTGCCTTCATCAGACGTTTTTGATCCAGAATCAAAACTGCCCGGCGGATAATACGGTATTACTAAATAAAAAGGCAAATTGCATTCAATGGATCATACATGATTTGTCTGACGAATCATTCGGTACAGTAGCTAGCAACAACGCATCTAAATACAGTATGGGAATAATTACGTATAGAGACAATCCATTAACTTCGGTCTTCGGGTAAGAAGTGTCGCTTATGTCGACGAATGGACAGTCAACTACGCCCACAAGGTCGTCAGTGCATATAGACGGAGTACGCACGTCAAGGGCATAACTGTCAAAAAACTGAATTTTTTCGTATACACTAATAAGAAAATTTGAATTCTGGGATCCATTTTTGGCAAAGTTTTGTAGATGGAGTATGAACAATAGAAACTGGGACACACTGAACACAACTGTGTTAGATGATACAAAAAATATTGTGCTTCCATTATGCCATTACAGTTAATAAATGCTATTTAGAAATTGAACGTAGCCATATTGATTTTCATTTCCTTTATTAGCCGGTGATCAGTGTCTTTTTGTCATTTTGTGTCTGGAAATCTACTAGAAATGCAACGCGAAAAAGAATCGTGGGTTGTGTCCAAAGACTAATAATCTTAACTTTGGATAGGCTTTGGCAGGAGAAGCTATACAATGTATTGTTGCATGCAATCTTTAATAATTACAGTATACTGTAAAATTGTTTGCAAAATTGAGTTTGGAATCTTCAATAATTACAGACATAATTCAGTTTGTAAATGAACAAAATAAAACAGAATTGTATCACTGCATGCATACGCCAAGAAAACCACGAAAGCATGTAATAAATATTCGCAACTTACCAAGAACATTGAGCCTTATTCCGTGTGTGTCTGTTAATGGCGTTCCAGTACTTGACAAATATGTTAATTCCAGGGTATATTCGCCATCATCCTTTGTTTCCGCTTTAATGATGTTCAAAACTATCTCTTTGGTATTCTGAATGTGTGTAACTGACCATCCTCTCCCCAAATAGTCTGGATACGTCACAATATTAAACTCAGACTTGAAAATAGCAATGTTAACCACTGCCTTTCCAGGTGGTGCCAACTTGATATTACCTGATAAATAACTTTCTCCAGGATTCGTAGAGAAACCCCATTTCACTTGAACATTGCTTTTTAAGTTAACATCCATTTCTGAATTTTTCTTATTTATTTGGAAACTTGCTAAATGGAGAAAAATCATTAATATAAATTACGTCATATTTACTGCACTTGCATGCATGTGATAATTGCTGCGACTATATTGTATACCCGGTATTTCCGAAATAACTTTAAAAGTCAATAGAATTTCAGGTTTGATCAAGAGGGTAATGCATGATATTAAAGACGTCCATATAGGCCAGAAAAAGTTTTGTATTGTTCTCTGATTTCAGGTTGAATATGATAATGAACTCTGGTCTCCTGAACAAATTATGTATAAGCGTATCCTAGAAAATGTCCAACGTCGACACTTAAGCTATAGGGAAAGACTATCCCAGTTAAAACTGCTTCCATTGGAATATCGTACAACATGGAAAGATTTCGTGTTTTTCTTCAAATGTCAACATGTTTATGACGTAGATTTATCAAATATTGCTAAAAAACGGACTCCTATTTCATTGAGATTAGATGTATAAGACTGAATTTTATAGACATTTTTATTTCCATAGAGTGATAAGGGCTTGGAATTGATTGTCATATGATGGTTAAGGAAATTAGTTTATTTAAGAGGAAAATAAGAGTAAAACTTTTTAGCGAATTGTCTATACCCCCATAACTTGAAGGCTCAATCATACTGTGACTTAGATCATTTCACATTATTCATTAGACTTGGTATTTTTCTATTTTCTGTAATTTTTCATGTAATATTACTTAGTAGCAGAGGTAGACAGATTCAATTGACGCTATGCTTTGTCTGCCCAACTACATCTGTAATTCAGTGATAAAATAATTAAAACAAAACATAAGGCAGGGTTAGGGCAAAGCCCCACCAGTTGGGGGCCCACTGCAACCACACCCCTGACAAGTGTTAGTGTACTCATTCACTTTCATTCACAAAACACGTCTCAGTTAAAGTCACGTGGAAACTGCTGCAAAGTGATTGTGAAAGAATACTCTGTGCATGTTATGCAGTGTAGGTAGCGTTATTAAACTAGAAATACATGCATGCAGCAACCCCCGCCTATATTTTCCAAACATCGATTTAATTAACATGAAGTACCACCAATTGATAAACACCGAACGCACGCTCGCGTTTACGTTGCCGTGGCAACATGATAATTTTAATTTTTATTCAGTACTTTTGTACAATACGGCAAAAATAGTTGAAAGACTATTGCTTTTAACTGTATAACAATGAATTTCCGAAATATGTACTGTATGTATGTTGTTCTGGATTTTGTGAGCTTTGATTTAATGTAAAATTAAACCAGAATCGCTTCGTAAAATGCTTTGAAATATTCATTTTAATAACTAAACTGCTTTACCGATAAACTGTTTTTACCATAGAAAGCCCAAAACGGCGTGTAGAATGCACCAAATGCTTCCAAATGCCAATTTGGATTAAGCTCGCCCCATTCCTCTGTTATTTGTCGCGCGCCGCAAACACTCAATGAAAAGCATTGTTCATCAATCTCTGGGATAATCCGTTTCAGGGAGGAATCTGATTGGCCGTTGAAATGGAATGCGTAGTTCAATTACAGTTCAATCTTAGCCAGGATTCCTGGCTTCCGGCAACGGATTATCCCAGAGCCTCACGTTCCTTCCCGAGGATCGCAGGCTCGGGGAACGAGATTGCATTGTTCATATATATAGGAACAGGTAGGCAATTTGTCGACGCTGACCAAAAATAGCGGCTCATTTCTTCTTTGAGTTTCCATTTTCGCGTCGAAGAGCAAAAATATGGACTTTCGGAGAATATTTTAGCTGTTTACTATCAAATATGTTTTTGAAACAGTTAATAATCTCACTGAGGAAGGCCAACGGTTTCTGAAAAGCCAAAGTACGTCGAAATCAGCTTTGGAATAGACTATATTTTCACCGGGGAAACATAAACAAAATGGATATTTACATCAACACTAAATTTTGCTGGTGCCTACAGAGCTAGTTGGATTAAAACAGATGTTAAGAAGTGAAAATGTGAACTTTGTGAATTATACTTTCATTAAAATGTTTCAGAAGGTTTGCTAATGTCAAACTACACGTGTGACAGAGCTGTCAGTATACCCATATTTCAATGTTTATGTTGAAATGACCTATCTTCTTTGAGGTATAGCTTAAAATTTAGGGTAGGCTCATCACTTGAAACTAGCTTTAAATCAAAGTTTTATCTATAGTCTTTATATTAGAATTAAAATCATTCATGGGAAAAATGTGCCACAGGGTTGAAATTGCCCTTGTAAATGTACACTATTTTTGACATGCTTGGGTTAGTATTTTGAAAAGGTGTTCTGGAAGGAAAATATGTCTTGAACAATACTGGTTGACCCTTAAATTATAACTAGTGTTATGTAAATCACAGAAAATTGAAAAAAATCTGGTCCATACACCATATTTTGGACCCTATGAGATCCCGAATGGGGCTTATTTCAATGTTGAACCTGTTTACCTGGAAAAACTTAGAAAATTGAATAAGTCAAGAAATTGACTATGCTCATCACCCAAAACCAGGTTTTTCTAATTGCTTTTTCACCTGGGTTTGTGGCAATGCCAGTTATGCGACCACGAAAAATGCGCGCGGCACTTTTTTTGGACACTGAAGATGGTAACATTTGATGTTGTCATATATTGCCATCCTCTTATCGTAGCATAACCTAACTTATTTTAGTAAATTTGTTAAAGAGTTGTGTTCACTATATGCTTGTAGTATCTAAGATTTTTTCATAGCATTATATGATAAATTTAAGTTCTGTTTTCTTTTATTTTTAGGTGATAGTATCTGTTCATTCCAGTGTTGGTATCAAATTTTGGACAAGTTTCAATTATTATTTCACATTCCTTTATTCAAATATCCAAATAAATGGAATATGACATCAAGCTGGAGGACTAGATCCTGTTTTGAAACTTGTTTTTTTTTGTAAAAATAGAAAATAACAACTTATTATGTGTTGTTCTAATAAAAACCATTGTTTTTGATATGCATATATTTTAATTTTATTCTTTGTTAAAATGTGTACCTGGAATACTGAAATCTTTCAGATCAGCTAACAATACCTTTATAACTTATATAGCCAAGTGTTCTATCTATTTTCGTTCAGATTAAACAAATAATGGGTAAAATATTAGATAAAATGTTTTCAAAAAATATGAGCTTGCCTGTTTTCATAGCATAAAAAGCAATAAAATAAAGCAAAAGTACTTATTTTTATTTAAAACCTTTGGAATGCACAGCTTAATGTTTTCCACGAAATATTACAAAGTTTCCGTTCATTAAAATGTTGTTTTATCAGCTTTAAAACCAGATAAATCCTCGAAACACTCCTGATATATGTCGCCATATTGATTTTCTGCGCGCATGCGCAGACAAATTGCCTACCTGTTATATATAGGTATATTGGTATAATATATATATATATGAACAAATTTATGAACAATGCTTTTCATTGAGTGCTTGCGGCGCGCGACACTGGAATAACGGAGGAATGGGGCGAGCTTAATCTAAATTGGCATTTGGAAGCATTTGGTGCATTCTACACGCCGTTTTGGGCTGCCTATGGTTTTACTTCAAATTGTTAGTAATTTCAGTTAGGTCTTCAAATTAATTTGCTATCCTTTACATTTTACCTTTTTTTCTTAAATTAAACAGGGTAATTTAGGAAACTTACAGCTTCATTGCAAAAGAAAACAGCAGAGCATGTTTTACGCAATAAATTATTAAAAAGCAACAAAATTCATTAAATATTCAAAGCAAACTTGCCCTATATTTCACGATTTTCCACAGTAAATCAATTCTTCTCATTTCTTCAAACAAAAAGTGCTTCAAAGTTCATTGTGTGAAACGTAATTTTCCAAATATATGCTTTTGAAAATTGAAATATTGGTTTAATATCCTCATTGTGCTTATCTATGACGTTATATTTCCGCCAAGTTTTCTATTTGCGATCCAAATTGTGTATTTTGTTCAAATTCTCAATACTACATTCAACTTTTCACAATTGAACATTCAACTTTTTACACAATTGAACTTTTTACACAATTGAACATTCAACTTTTCAAGCAATTGAACATTCAACTTTTTACAGAACATTCAACATTTTTTGAACATCCAACCGCAATCCAATTTACACGACGTAACGGCGGCTCACATGTGGTAATCACGAGATGTAAATATGGCGGGGAATCCTGATTTAAGCGAAGTGAAAGAGACGCTGTTCAAGCTAGCAAATCGACAGTTAACTAACAATTCAGGCAAGTGTAATATTGATTGTATATATCTGTTCATATTACTATGTGAACCATTTTGGTATTCCTCTATTTTGTCAACATAAAATTTGCATAAAATCTGCGGCGCTAGGGTACGTAGAGTGTCGTTTGTATAATCTTATGTTTTTAGGATAAGTTCATCCAAACAAAATAAAATGCAGCGAATATAAGTGAACGGAAGGTGTTTTTGTACACGTTTAATCTGCAATTTGATCAAAATTAATTATAAAAGTGTAAAATAATAGTAGAGGAATACCAAAATATATTTACCAAATACCAATTTAATATATTAAATGGTTCACATAATATGGACAGAAATATACAATCAATATTACATCTGTAAAAAGTTGAATGTTGAATTGCGTAAAAAGTTGAGTTGCGTGAAAAGTTGAATGTTGAATTGCGTAAAAAGTTGAATGTTCAATTTTCGTAAAAAGTTGAATGTTCAATTGTGTAAAAGGTTGAATGTTCAATTGTGTATAAAAAAGTTGAATGTTCAATTGTGCAAAAAGTTGAATGTTTAAATTGCGTAAAATGTTCAATTGTGTAAAAAGTTGAATGTCGTATTGAGAATATGAACCGAATACACAAACTAGGATCGCAAATAAAAAACTAGAATTTTGGCGGAAATATAACGTCATACTTATCCCACTCCTGGCAAACAGCCATATTTTTGAGATCAGTGAGGAGGTCCACCCCAGTGAACTATATACAATGTTATATAGTGTTTATATATACAATGTTATACAGTGCTATATAGTTCAGT